CAAACCACATCCAAAAAAGCCTATGAAAGGAACTAGGGGCTTCTCATGGGGCCCCCTACTGACCCTGGGCCCTCAGGCAGTGCACGAGTGCCCAGATGGTCAGTCTGCCAACTGAAGCATAGTAAACAGTATTGGAGGGGGGAGGGACCTGTCAAGTTTGTTGTATGGGGCCCCGTGGTTTCTAACAGCAGCCCTGCTTGTGCCTATTCCATAGCCCTCTCCTCTTCTAGGGGTGTCTGTCTGTGCTGGCCCAGCTCCTCTGCCCCTCCCTACCCCATTTATGTAGCAGCAGAGGGAGGGAAGGGGAATATTGTAAAACAGCCTCTCAACAACCTTTTTTACCCCAACGTAGCTCTTGAAATCATTTTCAAGTCTAGGGGAACCCCTGCCCTGCTAAAACCAATTTATTGGGCTCAATGGGGAGAAGGCCCCTTATATTGGGATTCAGTGTGGAGAAGGTCCCTTATATTGGTGTAATAAGACAGAGAGCGCACCTGCCTAGCGCATTATCCCAGGGTACATTTATTAAAATGATGATACAAGTATACTCACAAACAATATGTAAAAAGATCACATTTCAAGTTGTAGCCTTTTGGTACAATAAATAGTAAGACCCAGCCGATCCTCAGACACCAGATAGGTGCCGTCCAGGAACCAAAGAATGGCTTACGCGTTCTGAAGGCAACCCTCTTCCTCAGAGCCAGCAAGGAAGAGGGCCGCCCTTAAAAACGTGCAAGACATTCTTTGGTTCCTGGACGGCACCTATCTGGCATCTGAGGGTCTACTGGGTCTTACTATTTATTGTACCAAGAGTCTACAACTTGATATGAGATCTTTAACATATTGTTTGTGAGTACAACTTATCATCATTTTAATAAATTTACCTTGGAACAATGCGCTAGGCTGGTGCGCTCTCTGTCTTTTTACAGTAGTTATCTGGACAACCCCAGTCATTTGAGAGAGCAGCAAAGCCTTACATATCCATTGGTTTACCCCTATGCACTCACATTTGAGAATAGGCCCAGGTCCTCCACACTGATGCACAAGAGAATTTGACACTTTCCCTTAAATTGGTAGTCAGTGGTGGGGAAGGCCCCTCAAGTTGGGCGGCCAGTGGTGGGGAAGGCCCCTCACGTTGGGCGGCCAGTGGTGGGGAAGGCCCCTCACGTTGGGCGGCCAGTGGTGGGGAAGGCCCCTCACGTTGGGCGGCCAGTGGTGGGGAAGGCCCCTCACGTTGGGCGGCCAGTGGTGCGGAAGGCCCCTCACGTTGGGCGGCCAGTGGTGCGGAAGGCCCCTCACGTTGGGCGGCCAGTGGTGCGGAAGGCCCCTCACGTTGGGCGGCCAGGGTGGTGGCGGAAGGCCCCTCACGTTGGGCGGCCAGTGGTGCGGAAGGCCCCTCACGTTGGGCGGCCAGTGGTGCGGAAGGCCCCTCACGTTGGGCGGCCAGTGGTGGGGAAGGCCCCTCACGTTGGGCGGCCAGTGGTGGGGAAGGCCCCTCACGTTGGGCGGCCAGTGGTGGGGAAGGCCCCTAACGTTGATGGTTGGGAAGAAATGCTCCTCATATTAGGTGGGCAATACCAACTATGCAGACCGCTAAAAAAAAAAAACTCCAGGACTGAGATTCAAGCCATCTTGGCTCAAACCACTATAATTATTATCTAGATGCCACCTCCATGTGGCCAATGATGAAGCTGTAATTCCTTGTTCTAGCCTAAGCTACATTCAGTAAATGGCATCCTCTGCTAGTGGCTGCTTCAGCTACTTCCCCTAATTGGAGAATAGCATTTCCTCATGTGATGTCATCTGTCTCTCCACCTTAGTCAATTACATCTTACATTTCTTGAGAAAATAAAATACTAGGGTTCTCCTGAGTGGTGGAGGAACAGGTGCAAGTGATTCTCTATATTTAGTGCACGAGATGGAGGGTGGTCAAGCAACCACCAAAGAGGACACCATGTACATGGATGGAGCATAAGATACAACAAATACAGCTTCAACATCAGCTACACAGAGGTGGCCTCTGGATCATTTGTTCTGGCACAGGTGACCCAAAGTAAGTGTTCAGACTAATCTCATCCCTGGAGTTCTGATTTAGAAAGATAATTGGTGTAACAGTACTTGTTCTGTCTAATGGCATTGGTAGACACCATCAAAAGGAAGTCGATCAGCCACAGCTCCAGGAACCTCAAGAAACCTCTAGAGGAACCCTAGGTTTCCACAGATGCCTGATTGGAGAATGGCTCCTGTAGAGGGTAACTTGAGTCCACTACCATCACATCCAAAATGGTGGCACCCAACAGCAGTTTTTTGGACGTCTACCAGGACTTTTGGATGGCTACAGGGAGGCCTTTACAGATTTAAAAAAATAAAGTGATTTACTAAAACTGGAGCACTCAGAAGCTACGCATGGTAGCCACTCAGCTTCTAACTGCAGCTTGTACAGTTAGGTTTTGCCAACAAAACCTGGAAGCTGATTGGTTTCTATGCAGAGCTGCACCGGATTTTGTACTCTCCAGTTTTGGTAAGTCTCCCCCAATATGTATACAAGGGAAGAGTTTTGTTGAAATGAATGATCAGGTTACAGGGTCTCCAACACAAAAAGGGTCAACTTTGATGCAAATACCTTTCCATTAACTTCTTTTTTTCCCCCAAAACCTTAAACTTCAGAACACGGGGAAGCCAACTGCTTATTACAGGCAACAAAAATTGCCACCATTAGTGCACTTTTCATATTCCGGGCCCAGTTATCAATAAAAACAAAAAGAAAAACCAGTCCAGTTTCTTGAAAAGTTAAAGTGAGCTATAGCACCAGTCACACAATGGGTGCTTTGGGAGGAGTTGCGCACCAGGACAGCGCAAGTTACCGGGCTGGCGTTCCGTACAGTGGTCTCCGTAAACAGATGACTAGTCTGCTGCAGCTCTTTATGAAAATCAATAAAAAAAAAACAAAAAAAAAAAAAAAACAGATTCTAGGAGGTAAAAGAGGATTGCAAAGTCGTCCAGTCCACAACAAACGGTTTTCTTGCAGAAGTGTGCTACATACCGTAGGAGAAGTTTGTCCCCGGGAGACTTCCAGGAAAAAAAAAAAAAGTGAGTTTAAGGGAAAAAAAAAAAAAAATAGGAAGGGGCGGCACACAGGCTCCTGTACTGCGGCCCACAAGGGTGTTCGGCCGCATTCTGCTCATCTGGCAGTGAAACAGTTAGCAATGAAAGTGCAGCCTCTCTATCACCGCAGCCAAATGGCGTGCTGCCTCGCGCTTCAAATCCTCCACCGCCTTTACCATCGCGAAGATCGAACACCATTGTTCTTGCCACAGGGAGAAGAGAAAAAATAAAAAATAAAAAATGTACCACAAGGAGACGGGAGTAAAACCCAACATCCATACAAAAAGAGGCCTCGATGTGCCGAGTGGGCAGAGACCACCCCAGTTTCAGTGTCTGCCTGAGCTTGTTGGGTAGGCGGCAGATGGCAACTCACTGTCGCTGTGGGCGGAGCTAGCTCAGAGACCCTCCCCACTGCAAAGGTGGGGTGGGGGGAAATGGCCCATCTTCAAGTATTAACGAGGCGGCAGCCTCCAAGGCCGGGGTAGTGGTGGGTGCAGATCTGGCAGTGTACGGCAACGTTCGTTTGTTCTGTGCGCGCCCACGTGTCACAAGACCACGCACTGCAGCCGGTGCGTTCCCGTAGAGCGATCTCCTCGCCACTTGGTGTTCCTCTTCCGTTTCAGGCTCTTGTCTGGGATCTGCTGCCTGTTATGGGGAGAAGCAAGACAAAAGATGAGCGAGGTGCTTTTCTTCGGAGTCTGTAACGTTTTCTAGATCATCTGCATTCAGGGGCGGACTGACAACTCATGGGGCCCCCGGGCAATAGGGGATCATGGGGCCCCTGCGTCCTTGCCCAAACTCAAAAAAGCGTATGAAAAAAGGTACCAGGGGCATCTCATGGGGCCCCCTACTGACCCTGGGCCCTCGGGCAGTGGCCGAGTTTCCAAATGGTCAGTCTGCCCCTGTCTGCATCATATCTTCCCATTCTGTTTTACATCCTATTTCAGTTTGTATTTTGCTATTCTGTATTCACATGACAGGGGGGAGAATGGAGTCAAATTTGCTCATGACTTTTTCTGGGTCCACTGTCTGCAGAAATAGAGCTCTACAGTGACTGCGCTTTTCTGCTCCTCCACCTCGAGGCATTAAAGGAACATATGCTGGAAGAGTGCATGACCCAGGATAGAAGGAATAAGCCTTTAAAATGATAGTAAACTCTCCTTGATGAGCTTGTACCTAGCTTACAGTAAGACTTACCTGTAGGTACAATGAATAGCTCCTACAATTTGCACCGTTTAGGACACGGGTGTCAAACTGGTGGCCCTCCAGCTGTTGCCAAACTACAAATCCCATGAGGCATTGCAAGATTGAGGCCCCACTCCGCCCCCCCCCCTCACTGACTGATTGACAGCAGCAAGAGCCAATGGCTCCCGCTGCTGTGTCTGAGCCAATGAGGAGGAAAAGAGCTGGGAGAGCTTCTGCTCTCATGCACATCGCCGGACTGAGATCGGGCTCAGGTAAGTATAAGGGGGGCAGCTCTCCACTGAAGGTTGAAAAAAAAAAAAAAAAAAAATCAGTCCAAAATTATAGGATGGTTTGCTTATTATATATATTTTTTGTATAAGAAGTGTGACTGGATGCACCATATTGTGACAAACCTTTTACTACGTATTACATCTTGGTGCACCCGGTTATGCTTTTTATTCCATTCACTAATGCATTCGGTCAAGCTGCTTATTCTATTATTTTGCTGTGTTATCTGATCTCATGAACAATCTTATAATTTTTTGCTGAGCCATGCTAATACTTCTCTCTGTGACATTGTGCTTTTTAACTGCTTTCAGTCCACACACACACACACATATATATATATATATATATATATATATATACACATATACATATACACATACACAAACACACATATATATATATACAGTGGGGTAAAAAAGTATTTAGTCAGCCACCAATTGTGCAAGTTCTCCCACTTAAAAAGATGAGAGAGGGCCTGTAATTGGCATCATAGGTAGACCTCAACTATGAGAGACAAAATGAGAAAAAAAATCCAGACAATCACATTTGGCTGATTTGGAAAGAATTTATTTGCAAATTATGGTGGAAAATAAGTATTTGGTCACCTACAAACAAGCAAGATTTCTGGCTCTCACAGACCTGTACCTTCTTCTTTATAGGCTCCTCTGTCCTGCACTCATTACCTGTATCAATGGCACCTGTTTGAACTTGTTATCAGTATAAATGACACCTGTCCACAACCTCAAACAGTCACACTCCAAACTCCACTATGGTGAAGACCAAAGAGCTGTCGAAGGACACCAGAAACAAAATTGTAGACCTGCACCAGGCTGGGAAGACTGAATCTGCAATAGGCAAGCAGCTTGGTGTGAACAAATCAACTGTGGGAGCAATAATTAGAAAATGGAAGACATACAAGACCACTGATAATCTCCCTCGATCTGGGGCTCCACGCAAGATCTCACCCCGTGGGGTCAAAATGATCAAAAGAACATGAGCAAAAATCCCAGGACCACACGGGGGGACCTAGTGAATGACCTAGAGAGCTGGGACCAATGTAACAAAGGCTACCATCAGTAACACACTACAGGGACTCAGATCCTGCAGTGCCAGACGTGTCCCCCTGCTTAAGCCAGTACATATCCGGGCCCGTCTGAAGTTTGCTAGAAAGCATTTGGATGTTCCAGAAGAGGATTGGGAGAATGTCATATGGTCAGATGAAACCAAAATAGAACTGTTTGGTAGAAACACAACTCGTCGTGTTTGGAGGAGAGAGAATGCTGAGTTGCATCCAAAGAACACCATACCACTGTGAAGCATGGGGATGGCAACAACATGCTTTGGGGCTGTTTCTCCACAAAGGGACCAGGATGACTGATCCATGTACAGGACAGAATGAATCGGGCCATGTATCGTGAGATTTTGAGTGCAAACCTCCTTTCATCAGCAAGGGCATTGAAGATGAAACGTGGCTGGGTCTTCCAACATGACAATGATCCCAACATACCGCTCGGGCAACAAAGGAGTGGCTTCGTAAGAAGCATTTCAAGATCCTGGAGTGGCCTAGCCAGTCTCCAGATCTCAACCCCATAGAAAACCTTTGGAGGGAGTTGAAAGTCCGTGTTGCCCAGCGACAGACCCAAAACATCACTGCTCTAGAGGAGATCTGCATGGAGGAATGGGCCAACATACCAGCAACAGTGTGTGCCAACCTTGTGAAGACTTACAGGAAACGTCTGACCTCTGTCATTGCCAACAAAGGATATATAACAAAGTATTGAGATGAACTTTTGATATTGACCAAATTTAATTTCCACCATAATTTGCAAATAAATTTCTTTCCAAATCAGCCAATGTAATTGTCTGGATTTTTTTTCTCATTTTGTATCTCATAGTTGAGGTCTCCCTATGATGCCAATTACAGGCCTCTCTCATCTTTTTAAGTGGGAGAACTTGCACACTGACTAAATACTTTTTTGCCCCACTGTATATATATATATATACACACACACACACACACACACACACATATAAATATATATATATATATACACACACACACACACACACACACACACACACATATATATATATATATACACATATACACACACACACACACACACACACACACACACAGTATATATATACATACATATATATACATACATACACATACATATATACACATACACACACACACACACGTTATATACATGTATATCCTAATTTCTCTTTCTCAAATGTACACTGCTCAAAAAAATTAAAGGAAGATTTTGTAATCAGAGTCTAGCATCAAGTCAATGAATATTGAACTGGTCAGGTAAGTAGCAGAGGGGGTTCATCAGTTTTAGCTGCTTTGGTGTTCATGAAATTAACAGGTGCACTAGATGGGCAACAATGAGAGGACCCACAAAACAGGAATGGCTTTATAGATGGAGGGGTTTTTCACTAGTTTTGCATTTGGCTAGGGTCAGTGTCACTACTGGTAGCATGAGGCCATATCTGGACCCTACAGAGGTTGTACAGGCAGTCCAACTCCTCCAGGATGGCACATCAGTAGCTCGATTTGCATTGGCCATTGAACACCAGAATTGGCAGGTCCACCACTGGCACCCTGTGCTTTTCACAGATGAGAGCAGGTTCACCCTGAGCACATGTGACAGACGTGAAAGGGTCTGGAGAAGCCGTGGAGAACGTTCTGCTGCCTGTAACATGGTTCAGCATGACCAATTTGGTGGTGGGTCAGTGATGGTCTGGGAAGGCATATCCATGGAGGGACACACAGATCTCTACAGGCTAGACCGGGTGTCGGCAACCCGCGGCTCTTTTTCACCTTTGCTGCGGCTCCCACCAGGTGACAGGCAATAGGGTTGCGGTAGCTCAGTGGTCGGCAAGCTGCGGCTCTTTTAATGCAGCTCTTCTGTGTGCCGGGCGCCCGCTGGCAAACATTGGCTGTCAGGATGTGGGCGGGGCAGCGTGACGAACTCCTCTCCTCTCACAGTCCGCCCTGAAGACCAGAACGGCGCGGGAACACGGCGAGAGGAACGCGCGGAGCAAAGGTAAGTGAATTGACACAATATGGGGAATGAATTACTATGGGGGATGAATTACTATATGGGGGATGAATTACTATAGGGGGGATGAATTACTATATGGGGGAATTACTATATGGGGGATGAATTACTATAGGGGGATGAATTACTATATGGGGGATGAATTACTATAGGGGGGATGAATTACTATGTGGGGGATGAATTACTATATGGGGGATGAATTACTATATGGGGGATGAATTACTATATGGGGGATGTATTTTCAGTTTTAAAAATGTTTCTCTCAAAATAAATTTCAATCGTGGTTTTGGCGAGATTTGGCTCAGTTGAAAAAAAAGGTTGCCCACCACTGACCTAAGGCTATGATTGTGATTATGACGATACACTGTGGCCCTGATTAACCCTTTGCTTACTGGGCCCTTAAACCCCCTTCATGACCAGAGCGTTTTTTGCAATATATGCAGTGTCGGATTTGTTTTAAATGTTGCAATGGTTTTGCGGCTCCCAGTCTTTTTTTCCCTCTCGGAAACGGGTCCAAGTGGCTCTTTAGGTCTTAAAAGTTGCAGACCCCTGGGCTAGACAATGGTACCCTGACTGCCATTAGGTATGGGGATGAAATCCTTGGACCCATTGTCAGACCCTACGCTGGTGCAGTGGGTCCTGGGTCCTGGGCCGTTCCTGGGTTCCTCCTGGTGCCGTGGGTTCCTGGTGCCGTGGGTCCTCCTCCTGGTGCCGTGGGTCCTGGGTTCCTCCTGGTACCGTGGGCCCTGGGTTCCTCCTGGTGCAGTGGGTTCCTGGTGCAGGGGGTCCTGGGTTCCTCCTGGTGCACGACAATGCCCGGCCTCATGTGGGGAGAGTATGCAGGCAGTTCCTGGAGGATGAAGGAATTGATACCATTGAATGGCCCCCACGCTCGCCTGACCTAAATCCAATAGGATACCTCTGGGATATCATGTTTCGGTCCATCCGACACCACCAGGTTGCACCTCAGACTGTCCAAGAGCTCAGTGATGCCCTGGTCAAGATCTGGGAGGTAATCCCCCAGGACACCATCCGTGGTCTCATTAGGACCCTCCCCCGACATTGTCAGGCATGCAAACAAGCACGTGGGGGCCATACAAACTACTGAGGACCATTCTGAGTTGCTGCAATGACATTTCATCCAAATGGACTCGCCTGCCGCATCATTTTTTCACTTTGATTTTCAGGGTGTTTTTGAATTCAGTCCTCTGTAGGTCGATCATTTCCATCAAACAATGGGGCGTCCTTACGTTCCTAACACATTACCCCATCCATATCAGTATAGAGATCCAGCCGGAGATTTCTCCCCATTGCAATCTGATGAGTCAAACGATGGGGCATCCTTACGGTCACATGCCTGATGAAGGGGCCTGCGAGACTCTGAAATGTTGCCTTGCTGTAACTATGTGATCGTTTATTAAAACTTTTGGATCCATATTGGTGATCCTCTATGTGCTGGTGACATTCTCCCTTACGTTCCTAACACATTACCCCGTCCATGTCAGTATAGAGATCCTGCAGGAGATTTTTCCCCATTGAGATCTGATGGGTTTTCAAAGTATTCCTTTCATTTTTTTGAGCAATGTATATATATATATATATATAAAAAGATCTCTGCGCTCTTGAATGTTGCGGTTGGTACTTACACACAAATATTGCATTATAAGGAATATACCTGATTACTCGTACGAGGTCGTGAAATGCTTTGTCCACATTCTGCGGCGGGTCCTTGGCACTTGTCTCAATGTATGGAATCTATAAGAAGGTAGAGGTTGTAAAGCGGTACCAGTAATACAGCCACAGCTCTCATCACAAATGTCCTCTATTTTTACCTTGCTGCTAGCATTAGTAAATAGACAGGAAGGTATATTATATTTACTGGTTTTAAAACGGTTTACATTACTTCAGTTCCTTCCTGGTTTCTGGCCTAGGCCAAAATGATGTCATACATCCCACAAGTCTTCAGGAGGGGAGTGGTGCTTTTCCAGCTAAACACACCCTCCTGCCTGCATGCCTGAGCTAAGGGCAGATGGATTCCAGTGAGTAAACAGGAATCCCACAGTGTGACGAGAGTCACGTTGGGTGGGGGCCATGGAACACAGCTCGCTTTGAAGAGGTGGGGAGACCCCTGTCTCAGCTCCCCATATCCCACTTATGTGCAAGTCACCCTGTGCCAGTTAGGGGTACAGGGTGATCTGTCCTAATATTGGGGTGGGGGGTTGTTGATTGTTTATTGCCATGTGGTTGGATCACATTGTTCTATTGTGTGTCTTGCTTGGGAGCAAACTATTATGGGATGTATGTGTTTGTGTATTGGCTTGGTGGGGGGTGTTTCCAGCAGCCCTCCCTCCTGATGGGACTGTCTGCTGGTGTGTCTCTTGTTACTAAATGTAGATTGCCGCACCCTGTGTCATTATGCGGGGGGGGGGGGGTGTTCCTTTGAATGTATATATCTTGTATCTGTGTTAAAATTAACTAGTCTATTTTCCTGGTTTACTTCAAGACTGGTGTCATCTGGTCTTGTTTGGTGGGCTGTGGTGTCTGTGGTCAGTGTTCGGACGTGGAAGTGGTAGTCTAACAGAAGTACTCACGCACAGTCTAAGGGTCGGTTCCGTTACTCACAGGGCAAGTTAATTCAAAGCCAAGTGCCAGGTATGTACAGTATCTCCCAGAAGTGAGTACAGCCCTCCCCCCCACACACATATATATATATATATATATATATATATATATATATATATATATATATATATATACACACACACACACACACACACACACACACACACTATCTCCCAGAAGTGAATCCACCCCTCATATTTCTGTAAATATTTGATTCTATCTTTTCATGTGACAACACTGAAGAAATGACACTTTGCTACAATGTGACGTAGTCAGTGTACAGCTTGTATAACATGTAAATTTGCTGTCCCCTCAAAATAACTCATTAATGTCTAAACCGCTGGCAACAAAAGTGAGTCCACCCCTAAGTGACAAGGTCCAAATTGGGCCCAATTAGCCATTTTCCCTCCCCGATGTCATGTGACTTGTTAGTGTTACAAGGTCTCAGGTGTGAATGGGGAGCGGGTGGGTTACATTAGGTGTTATCGCTCTCCCTCTCTCATACTGGTCACTGGAAGTTCAACATGGCACCTCATGGCAAAGAACTCTGAGGATTCGAAAAAAAGAATTGTTGCTCTACATAAGTTTTATTTTCAAAAACAATTAAATCTTAACTGACCATAATTCTTCAAAACATCTGGTCATATTGAGAATAATTATGTACCTTGGAAAATAAATAGTCACAAATCTATAAAAATGATGAAATTAAGAACCACCATATTAACTTCTAGAAATTCCAGGCATCTTATCGAGATTACTGCTTTTGGCAGGAGGGGGTCCCATGGAAGGAGTAAATTGCTCAAATGCTGCCAAAATCTTCTAGTCTGACCAGTCTGCTTCACCCCAATCCATTTGTTTTTTTTTTCCCTTTTCCTTCTATGTGCCGCACACCCCGGCATCCATTCCCCTTCCACTTACGTTGTGTTTTACCGCCATTTCCTTCCCTTGGTCACTGGAAATTTTCCTTAAGTGCATCAGGTCCACTTTGTTGGCGACGAGAATCATCGGGAACGACTCTCTGCAAGAGGAAGAGAATCCTTCAGAATGGACAGGAGAGAACAATAAGGTCCATGTGTCCTAGCGCTACCATTGGCTTCCATTGCTGGAGCCATGAAGAGGACAAAGATGGTGATCTGCACTGGGAAAGCCTTTGCTGTTTTTGAACAGTACAATGAGGGGTGAACCTGACATTTATGAATGGATGTTGCTGATTCTTTTTATATTTTAAGGGAGTTAAGCCAAGCTTCATGCTCAGACCCCAAGCTTTTTAATTTTATAATGTGTCTAAATCAGGGGTGGGCAAACTTTTTGACTTGAGGGCCGCAATGGGTTCATATATTGGACCCGGGGGCCGGACCAAGAGTAGATGAATGATGTGTATGTGTCATCCATAGTAAGCATAGTAATTAATCCCCCATATAGTAATTCATCTCCCATAGTAATTCATCCCCCATAGTAATTCATCCCCCATATAGTAATTCATCCCCCATATAGTAATTCATCCCCCATATAGTAATTCATCACTCATATAGTAATTCATCCCCCATATAGTAATTCATCCCCCATATAGTAATTCATCCCCCATATAGTAATTCATCCCCCCATATAGTAATTCATTCCCCATATTAAGTCCCAAGTCCCCCCGTGTCAATTCACTTACCTTTGCTCCGCGCGTTCCTCTCGCCGTGTTCCCGCGCCGTTCCGGTGTAGCATGAAAATCTGTCTCCTATGAGGATCTGTCCCCCTCGACGTATCTGCGCATGTGCCAGTTTCAGGCATTAGCAGCCGATCGGCGATCTCCGGCACATGCGCAGATACGTCAAGGGGGACAGATCCTCATAGGAGACAGATTTTCATGCTACACCGGTCTTCAGGGCGGACTGTGAGAGGAGCATAGCGGGAGCCTAGCTCCGTGGGCCAGATTAAAAGGTCCGCCGGGCCGTATACGGCCCGCGGGCCATAGTTTGCCCATTGCTGGTCTAAATGGTTAATTCGCCTTTGAGAGATGCAGTCAAGGGGCCCGAGCTGTGCAGCTTTTAAAAATGCTGGATTAGTAGAATGGATGTACCTGTAGGTCATTTGGTCCCTTCAAGACCTGGCTGAAAAAAACATGGAGAACATATCCCCCTACAATGCTGGGGGTGAGCATCTGACAGGTCAGGGCGGGGCAAGCTATCTATTGGCGCATTTTGCCCAGATTTCAGCGGGGCCCCTCCATTTTTAAATGCTGTACAATTTCTTTACCTGCTGGGGACCCTTAACTGCACAGACACATTTTCTTTCAAAAGGTGCTCAAAGCTGATTTTCTTTACAAAGAGGCCACAGAATTGAAGGCTGTGCCCTGCCAGCATGCTGCAGAGAAGGACCCTTGCTCTGTATGAAATTAACCAACAACTCCACTAAATCTCACTTCCACACATCACATTACCGCCTACATCCCTCTGCATTACCACCTACATCGTTCCACCTCCGGCACACAGTGCAACGCATTACCGCCTACCTTCCTCCACCTCCGGCACACATTGCGGCTCATTACCGCCTACATCCTTCCAACTCCGGCACACAGTGCGGCTCATTACCGCCTACATCCCTCCACCTCCGGCACACAGTGCGGCTCATTACCGCCTACATCCCTCAACCTCCGGCACACAGTGCAACGCATTACCGCCTACCTCCCTCCACCTCCGGCACACAGTGCGGCTCATTACCGCCTACATCCCTCCACCTCCGGCACACAGTGCAACGCATTACCACCTACATCCCTCCACTTCCAGCACACAGTGCAGCGCATTACCGCCTACATCCCTCCACGTCCAGCACACAGTGCGGCTCATTACCGCCTACATCCCTCCACCTCCGGCACACAGTGCGGCTCATTACCGCCTACATCCTTCCACCTCCGGCACACAGTGCAACGCATTACCGCCTACCTCCCTCCACCCACCTCCGGCACACAGTGCGGCTCATTACCGCCTACATCCCTCCACCTCCGGCACACAGTGCAACGCATTACCACCTACATCCCTCCACTTCCAGCACACAGTGCAGCGCTCATTACCGCCTACATCCCTCCACCTCCGGCACACAGTGCGGCTCATTACCTTCTACATCCCTCCACGTCCGGCACACAGTGCGGCTCATTACCGCCTTACCGCCTACATCCCTCCACCTCCGGCGCACAGTGCGGCTCATTACCGCCTACATCCCTCCACCTCCGGCGCACAGTGCGGCACATTACCGCCTACATCCCTCCACCTCCGGCACACAGTGCGGCTCATTACCTTCTACATCCCTCCACGTCCGGCACACAGTGCGGCTCATTACCGCCTACATCCCTCCACCTCCGGCGCACAGTGCGGCACATTACCGCCTACATCCCTCCACCTCCGGCACATTACCGCCTACATCCCTCCACCTCCGGCACACAGTGCGGCACGTTACCGCCTACCTCTCTCCACCTCCGGCACACAGTGCGGCTCATTACCGCCTACATCCCTCCACCTCCGGCACACAGTGCGACTCATTACCGCCTACATCCCTCCACCTCCGCACACAGTGCGGCGCATTACCGCCTACATCCCTCCACCTCCGGCACACAGTGTGGCGCATTACCGCCTACATCCCTCCACATTCAACACACAGTGCGGCGCATTACCGCCTACATCCCTCCACGTCCAGCACACAGTGCGGTGCATTACCGCCTACATCCCTCCACCTCCAGCACACAGTGCGGCGCATTACCGCCTACATCCCTCCACCTCCAGCACACAGTGCGGTGCATTACCGCCTACATCCCTCTGTGTCCACCACACAGTGCGCCTCATTACCGCCTCCAACCCTCCACCTCCGGCACACAGTGTAGCGCATTACCACCTACATCCCTCACCCATATCCAAACCTCCTGCAGATTATATGGATACAACACTCTAATTATCCTTTATCCCGTTCCCCAACAGGAACCTCAGCCTGGACCTCTAATGGATCCCACACCAGAGCTGGAACACTGCATTCAGTGACCTTCCGTCCTGCTATTCTGCATTTTCTGAAGATTGATGGAATGTTCCACGAACTTACCGGTCTTTGACCCTGAGGATGAGTTGGTGAAAGCGATCCACATGTTCAAAGCTGGCTTTGTCGGTGACCGAGTACACGATCAGGAACCCATCGCCAGTCCTCATGTACTGCTCTCGCATGGCGCTGAATTCTTCTTGACCGGCTGTGTCCAGCACTGAGGAAGACAAGGTGTCACTTACAGACCACAATTGTGAGTTATAGATGTAAAGACGGTATGATGGGTCAGAAGGATCTAACTAGTCATCCTGTCATTGGTCTCCTATCCCATCACAGATTTCACCCAACTCCTCTGATCAAGTCTGAAACCTGCCTTCCCTACAGACCAGTGAAACTGAAGACCTGGGGGCTCATTAACCACAAGTCTACCCAAAACTGATATTTTCTAGAGACTTAAAAATAGATCTGAATCCCAATGGGATGGCATTTAGTTATTACAAAAGCACAGCGTAGCAAACAATTACCATGGCTCCCCCAACTCCCAATTTCACTTTTTTCATCCTTATTAAGACTCTTATCCAGGGGTGGACTGGAAACTCATGGGGACCCCGGGCAATAGGAGATCATGGGGCCCGTGTCCTTGCTCATACTCAAACCACACCCAAAAAAGCCTATGAAAAGTACCAGGGGCATCTCATGGGGCCCCTTACTGACCCCGGACCCTTGGGCAAAAAAAAATATTTAAAAATTAAAAAAGTGTATTAATGTATTAAAATAAATCAGTTAAAAAAAAAATAAAAAAAGAGAAATTAAAAATGTATATTTTTAAATATACTATTGATAAATTTATAAATACGTTTACCATTAATATATTTAAAAATATACTTAAAAATAAAAAATGTATTAATATAATAAATTTTAAACCACATTTTTAATTTTTTTTTAAATATTAAATGATAAATGTATCAATTTATACATTTGTATAATATTTAAAAAATTCATATATGTTAAACAGTTTTTTAAATGATTATTATTATAATTTTTATTATTGTTAAAATATATTTTGGAATTATATTAAGGATACATATTTTAATTAAAATATACACTGCTCAAAAAAAAATGAAAGGAACACTTTGAAAACCCATCAGATCTCAATGGAGACAAATCTCCTGCTGGATCTCTATACTGAAATGGACGGGGTCATGTGTTAGGAATGTAAGGACGCCCCATTGTTTGCATTCAATCCTCTATAGGTCGATCATTTTCATTTCTATCAAACACACCCCCGAAAATCAAAGTGAAAAAATGATGCAGCAGGCGAGTCAATTTTGGTGAAATGTCATTGCAGCAACTCAGAATGGTCCTCAGTAGTTTGTATGGCCCCCACATGCTTGTATGCATGCCTGACAATGTCGGGGGGGGGGGGGGGCTCCTAATGAGACCACGGATGGTGTCCTGGGGGATTTCCTCCCAGATCTGGACCGGGGCATCACTGAGCTCCTGGACAGTCTGAGGTGCAACCTGGCGGCGTCGGATGGACCGAAACATGATATCCCAGAGGGGTTCTATTGGATTTAGGTCAGGCGAGCATGGGGGCCATTCAATGGTATCAATTCCTTCATCCTCCAGGAACTGCCTGCATACTCTCCCCACATGAGGCCGGGCATTGTGGTGCACCAGGAGGAACCCAGGACCCACTGCACCAGGAGGAACCCAGGACCCACTGCACCAGGAGGAACCCAGGACCCACTGCACCAGGAGGAACCCAGGACCCACTGCACCAGCGTAGGGTCTGACAATGGGTCCAAGGATTTCATCCCAATACCTAATGGCAGTCAGGGTGCCATTGTCTAGCCTGTAGAGGTCTGTGCGTCCCTCCATGGATATGCCTCCACCAGACCATCACTGACCCACCACCAAAGCGATCATGCTGAACCATGTTACAGGCAGCAGAACGTTCTCCACGGCTTCTCCAGACCCTTTCACGTCTGTCACATGTGCTCAGGGGGAACCTGCTCTCATCTGTGAAAAGCACAGGGTGCCAGTGGTGGACCTGCCAATTCTGGGGTTCAAAACCTGGATGATATCTTACAACACAATGCTGGTAAAGACTCCCTATAGTTAAGGGGTCTTTGTGTCAATATAGGGCTCCACATGCAGATGCAGACTTTATTGTCCTTTGCATGGACTATACAGGTCACTGTTTATATATATTTTGATCACTTTTCATAGGAATGAGTGGTCTCACAATGAATACAGTATGTGCAAATTTTTTAGAATTTGTTATACAGATCGCAATATTTGTATTTCTTATTGTGTATGAGAAGAGAGGATATCCTCTTAAGTATTTGCAGCTTTGTATACTAGAAGAGCTGGAGATTTGTGCAGTTTGATCTGTTTGTACTCATTTCATTAACACCAAAGCAGCTGAAACTGATGAACAACCCCCTTCTGCGACGTCACTGACCAGATCCATATCTCAGGAGTTCCATTGACTTGATCCTAGAGGGGGTTCCTGGGGTCAGTAGGGGGCCCCATGAGATGCCCCTGGTACTTTTTTGGATAGGGCTTTTTGAGTTTGGGGTCAAGGACACAGGGGCCCCATGATCCCCTATTGCCCAGGGGCCCCATGATCCCCTATTGCCCAGGGAACCCATGAGTTGTCAGTCCGCCCCTGATCACACCCAGTTCATGCAAACCGCTGCAGGTGTATATGTTAAGTTAACAACACCCCGAAATCAGTCCGCAAAACGTGGTGCAATGTGCAGAATTGGATCGCATTGGTGTGAATACCCATGTGATCTGATTCTAGTGCGGACCCAAAAAAGGGTCCTGCACGTTTGTGATGTGGGTGCGGTGCGATTAGAGCCATACAAAATCGCATCGCACACAAATCGCATGTGATTTGCACAGGAATGTGGCGCGGTTCCTGTGCGAATCACATGCAGTGTACCGCACCGCATACAGTTAGGTCCATAAATATTGGGACATGGACACAATTCTAACATTTGTGGTCTCTATACACCACCACAATGGATTTTGAAATGAAATAACAAGATGTGCTTTAACTGCAGACAATTTGAGGGTATTTACATTCAGGTGAACGGTGTAGGAATTACAACAGTTTGCATATGTGCCTCCCACTTGTTAAGGGACTAATGGGACAGACCAATCAAACTTTCACTTTTTAATACTTGGTTGCAAATTTTGCAGTCAATGACAGCCTGAAGTCTGGAACGCATAGACATTACCAGACGCCCTGGGTTTCATCCCTGGTGATGCTTGCCAAACTGTCTTCAGTTCCTGCTTGTGTTGGGGCATTTTCCCTTCACTTTTGTCTTCAGCAAGTGAAATGCTCAATCGGATTCAGGTCAATTGACTTGGGCCATTGCAGAACATTCCACTTCTTTCCAAACTCTTTGGTTGCTTTTGCAGGTTTTTGGGTCATTGTCCATCTGCACTGTGAAGCGTCCAATTAAGCATTTGGCTGAATATGCAGTTTGCAGAGTGCCTCCAGATAATATTCCCGAAACACTTCATATGGCTTCATCACGGCTGCTTCCATGGCCAGCAGTTACATCATTATACCCAATTACAATGAGCAGATACCAAATGCTTCACTGATGAGGTCCATGAGTTTCTCATACTTCCCTTTCCCATCAGTGTGCTATGTTGGCATTCGTTTGGCAAACTCTAATCTGGTTGCCTGTTTTTTGAGGCTCAAATGGTTTCTCCCTCATTCACTCTGGTGAAGTCTTCTCTTGATTGGTGACTTTGACACACATACACCTACCTCCTGGAGAGTGTTCTTGATCTGGCCAACTGTTTGTGAAGGGTGTTTTCTTCACCAAGGAAAGAATTCTTCCGTCATCCACCACAGTTGTTTTCCGTGGTCTTCCGGGTCTTTTGGTGTTGCTGAACCGGTGCGTTCCTTCTTTTTAAGAATGTTCCTAACAGTTGTTTTGGCATTTTTTTTTAATCTCAGGGTGTTTTTAAAAATGATTTCAATAACAGCTCTTTGGATCTCATCTTGAGAGTTCACAGCAACAGATTAAAAAATAGCACACTTGATCTCTGGATTTTATCTGCTCATTGTAATTGGGATGAGGGAATAACACACACCTGGCCATGGAACAGCTGAGGAGCCAATTGTCCCATTACTTTTGTCCCTTAACAAGTGGGAGGCACATTGCAAACGGTTGTAATTCCTACACCGTTTGATTTGGATGTAAATACCCTCAAATTAAAGCTGACAGTCTGCAGTTAAAGACCATCTTGTTCGTTTCATTTCAAATCCATTGTGGTGGTGTATGAGAGCCAAAAATGTTAGAATTGTGTCGATGTCCCAATATTTATGAACCTGACTGTATATGTGAACCCGGGGCTGAAAAGTGTTCCTATCATTTTTTTGAACAGTGTACTTAAAAATGATTAAAAAGTATATTATTGACACGCAGGATTAAAAAAGCAGATCATGTATGATGCATAGTGACGTCAGTCAGGACTTACATCCATTTTTAAAATAAAACAGATGATGACCAGCAGAGCAGCGATCGTGGCATTTGTCGCCGTTTGTCGCTGTGATGTCACAGTCACACCCGGTGGCCTTTCCCCATACACAGTCGCTCTGACAGCTTTGTTCAGGCCGTGTTTACTTGTCTGCGGGTTGGCCGGGTGCGGTCGGGTTCAGGAATGACGTTTTAAGGAGCGGTTCAGATAAAGAAGAACTTGAATAGACGACTGACATCTGGCACCGGTCCATTGTAACGTACGGCACATAACCCATTCACTGCTGGGAGCTACCGCCGTCATAGGGACTCCGCAGGAAAATGTCATCGCCAACTTTGTTTTATTATTTATTTCAGGTACTTATATCTCGCCGTCAATTTACACAGCACTTTACATATATATTGTACATTCACATCAGTCCCTAACCCTCAAGGGGCGTACATGGAAGAGAAATATATTTCCAATATATTTAGATAAAAAAAAAAAAATTATATCTGTGACATATATTTACAATATATTGGCCCACGCTAATATATTTTAACATGTATTCTAAAAAAATGTAAATTGAAATATATTTTCTTAAAAAGGCATATATTTAAAAATATATATTTTTTAAAAATATATTCTTCAGCTTTTTTTTAACCTATAAAAAAATGTCATTTTAACTGCTTGTAAATGCATTCCAAAAATGTAGATTAAAAGGTATTTTCAAAGACATATATTTGAAAATGTATTTTTAAAAATATTCTTCATATAATTTTTAATATATAAAAAAAATTAAATATAAAAAAAATATATAAAAACCACATCTCAACATACACCAAAACAGTCATGCTGAACCATGTTACAGGCAGCAGAACGTTCTCCACGGCTTCTCCAGACCCTTTCACGTCTGTCACATGTGCTCAGGGTGAACCTGCTCTCATCTGTGAAAAGCACAGGGTGCCAGTGGTGGACCTGCCAATTCTGGTGTTCAATGGCAAATGCCAATCCAGCTTTATGGTGCCGGCAGTGAGCACAGGACCCACTAGAGGACATCGGGCCCTCAGGCCACCCTCATGAAGTCTGTTTCTGATTGTTTGGTCAGAGACTTTCACACCAGTGGCCTGCTGGAGGTCATTTTGTAGGGCTCTGGCGGCGCTCATCCTGTTCCTCCTTGCACAAAGGAGCAGATACCGGTCCTGCTGATGGGTTAAGGACCTTCTACGGCCCTGTCCAGCTCTCCTAGAGTAACTGCCTGTCTCCTGGAATCTCCTCCATGCTCTTGAGACTGTGCTGGGAGACACAGCAACCCTTCTGGCAATGACACGTATTGATGTACCATCCTGGAGGAGATGGACTGCCTGTGCAATCTCTGTAGGGTCCAGGTATGGCCTTCTGCTACCAGTAGGGAAAAAAATGTCAGTGGCCTCCACCTGTAAAACCATTCCTGTTTTGAGAGTCAACTCATTGTTGCCCATCTAGTGCACCTGTTAATTCCATTAACACCAAAGCAGCTGAAACTGATGAACAACCCCCTCTGCTACTTACCTGACCAGATCCATATCCCAGGAGTCTCATTGACTTAATGCTAGACTCTGATTACAAAGTCTGCCTTTCATTTTTGTTGGGCAGTGTATATTGCAGTATTGGTAAACGCACCTGTATCCAGTTCTAGGCACACTGCCCCTGTCATCTCCAGTCCCCCCCCCCCCCCGCATCATCATCATTGTCCTCACTCCCTATGAAGCAGCACATGGGGGGGGATAGGTGTGGGCAGGGGGGGTGTCATCAATGCCCTCATTAGACACAGGGAACAAGGGTCTGCGGGTTCATGTAACCACTGATTGGCAGGGTGTTTGTTGGGCGAGGCACAGTGTGTAGATGGTCAGTAATCAGTGAGTGGATGGGGAGCTCGGGGGTGACATACGTGGTGAAGGGGGACACCGGTTAGCGTTCAGCAATGGCTGTATCTGCTGTCAGCGTCAGTGGTCTGACTGTCTCTGCTCACTGGCAGGGTAGGAGACCCCATTTGCTTTTACTTGTCCCTACCCATGGATTTGTATTTTTCCATCCAGTCCTGACATTTGCACAGCTCTGCCACACATTAGCCCTCTCTGGCAGGGTAGGAGACCCATTTGCCTTCACTTGTCCCTCCCTCCTAGTCTGACAGCACAGTGAAAGGAGAAGCAGCATGCAGATGAGCTCTTTCACTCTGCTTTCTCCTCCCATCAGCATGCTCATTGCACTGCATCACAGCTCCATGGCTCCTTATGCTACTTCTAGTCTGAGCTCTGCTGTGCTGATGCCAAGTCCATTTTTGGAACCTGCACTACATGGATATAAAAAAATACAGATCTGTTTTATGGTTCATATTTTATTCTATCTGCATGAAGATCAGCTTTAAAGCTCATTTGATTTTTCAGTTTATATATCTGCTAAATCCATTCTGGGTGCATCAATATAAAGGTTTGTAATGTCACACAGTCCAGGAAGCAGCCACAGCCCGAGTAGAAAATCCTGTCCCCTGCCAGCATGCTGCAGGAGGAGCCATGCTGTGTGTGGAAGCAGTGGTCTCTCTGCAGAAGTCTGACATTCCCTCCTCCTCCAGTGCAATCAGCTGATCGGAGAGCCCTAGCTCTGACTCTGCAAGGGGTGTGTCAGACCTCTGCAGAGAGACCAGTGATTGTGCTTTACTGCTCCTCGCAACACTCAGGTCTGACTTGCTCTAAACCAGTGGTGTCCAAACTGTGGCCCAAGGGCCGGATGTGGCCCTTTGCTTGCTTTTATATGGCCCTTGGGGGATTATTCCCCCCACTGTCAGCAACATTGTTCATGCCACGGACAACAAAAGGACATCATTCCTCCCATTGACACTAATGATGGGGCACTATCCTTCCCATTGACACCAACGATGGGGCAAAATTCCTCCCATTACCACAAACAATGGGGCACTACTCCTCCCACTAACACTAACAATGGGATGCTATTCCTCCCACTGACACCAATGATGGGGCACTATTCCTCCCACTGACACCAATGATGGGGCACTATTCCTCCCATTGATACCACTGATGGAGCACTATTACTCCCTCTAATACCAATGAAGGGGCACTATTCCTCTCACCGACACCAATCATGGGGCACGATTCCTCCCACTGACACCAATGATGGGGCGCTATTCCTCCCATTGACACCAACGATGGCGCACTATTCCTCCCACTGACACCAGGATATTTTCTTCTCCCACTGGCCACAGTCCGGCCCCCCAAACGTTTGAAGGACAGTAAATTGGCCCTTTGCTTAGAAAGTCTGGAGACCCCCGCTCTACACAGCGTATTCCAGCTCTGCTTGTCACCTTAACAGTGATGAATGAAGAAGGCCGAGTGACTGCAGTGAAGTCTAAAAAAAACATACGATAATGGAAATACGGGACAGCAAACAGGTTAAAGTCACAACATTAAAAATTACAGGGAAAAAAAAACTGGCTGAAATGACACCGCGGTCCCTCCTACATGCGACTTTCCTTACCATCCAGGATCGCCCATTGTCCATCGATCTCCGTGTGTTTCAGGTAGGAATCCTCTATGGTGGGATCATAATCTGGCACAAAGATCTTCTGGAAAAACTGTATGGTCAGTGCGCTCTTCCCCACGCCGCCATCTCCCACCACCACCAGTTTGTAGGTTGGCAGATTGTCGCTCAGGACCGCGCTGGTCGCCATGATGCCTTTCCCCGTTCCTGATGGGAGAGAGAACCGGTAAATGGGTTAAAACACACAAACCCTATAAAAAAAAAGGAACATAAACTGGCTGACTACAAAAGTTCTCTTGTAGCAAATGCAACATGCGATTAAAAGTTCAATGCCAATTTACTTTGCAGTGCAGTGCATGGGTTGGCAATGAACCCCCCCCCCCCCCCCCCCCCCCAAAAAAAAAAAAAAAAAAAAAAAAAAACACAGACGGGACCTTTTTATGAGATGATGTCATCGGTTTACTGCAGGTAGGAGGAAGCATTTCCTCAGTCTCTATATGGTAAATACCTCCTATGCTTAGAAGTGTGCAACAATTCAAATAAATGGCGGCTGCTGACACCCACCACTTATCACCTATAAGTGAATGATGCTAAATAATGTATAAAATGGTGCAGCGCTCATACATATAAAAAAAAAATTTAATAGTGACCTAATCACAAATAATCATAAATAATTACACAGTGATAACGAATCACCTGATCTTATCTGGGATCTGATGGTGAGACAGAACAGTGGATAAAACTAAATATCCGTGATCTCAAGATATACCCAATATGGTATAAAAAAAAGTGCTCACAAATACCCAGATCCTGAATTAGGATCAGTGACTGACCATAACCTAACAAAAAAATCAGTGACATACAAGTGATCCCAGCTCTGGGGGATATACATTTTTCATATATATATATATATATATATATGGGATCACTTGTATATGTCAAAAGTTTACTGTTCTTCAGACTTTAGGGGGGCCAGACTGTGGACATCGGGAATAGAAAATGTCAGAGTAACAGTGGGAGCAAATAATGCCCCATTTTTGGTGCTAATGAGAGGAACTGTGCCCCATCGTTGTGTCATTGAGGAATCATGCCCCATCATTGGGAGAAATTGTGCCCCATCATTGGCATCACTGGGAGGAATTGCGCCCCTTCATTGGTGTTACTGAGAGGAATTGTGCCCCATCATTGCTGTTATTGGGCCCAATTGTTGGTGTCATTGGAAGAAATTGTGCCCCATCATTGGGAGGAATTGTGCCCCATCATTGGGAGGAATTGTGCCCCATCATTGGTATTATTGGGAGGAATTGTGATCCATCATTGGGTGTCATTGGGAGGAATTGTGCCCCATCATTGGTGTTATTGGGCCCAATTGTTGGTGTCATTGGGTGGAACCGTGCCCCATCATTTGTGTCATTGGGAGGAATTGTGCCCCATCATTGGGAGGAATTGTGCCCCATCATTGGTGTTATTGGGCCCAATTGTTGGTGTCATTGGGTGGAACCGTGCCCCATCATTTGTGTCATTGGGAGGAATTGTGCCCCATCATTGGGAGGAATTGTGCCCCATCATTGGTATTATTGGAAGTAATTGTGCCCCATCATTGGAAGGAATTGTGCCCTGTCATTGGAAGGAATTGTGCCCCGTCATTGGCATCATTGGGAGGAATTGCCCCCCTGCATTGGTATTATTGGGAGTAATTGTGCCCCGTCATTGGGAGGAATTGTGCCCCGTCATTGGAAGGAATTGTGCCCCGTCATTGGAAGGAATTGTGCCCCGTCATTGGAAGGAATTGTGCCCCTTCATTGGCATCATTGGGAGGAATTGTGCCCCTTCATTGGAAGGAATTGTGCCCCTTCATTGGCATCATTGAGAGGAATTGCCGCCCTTCATTGGTGTTACTGGGAGGAATTGTGCCCCATCATTGGTGTTATTGGGCCCAATTGTTGGTGTCATTGGGTGGAACCGTGCCCCATCATTTGTGTCATTGGGAGGAATTGTGCCCCATCATTGGGAGGAATTGTGCCCCATCATTGGTATTATTGGAAGTAATTGTGCCCCATCATTGGAAGGAATTGTGCCCTGTCATTGGAAAGGAATTGTGCCCCGTCATTGGCATCATTGGGAGGAATTGCCCCCCTGCATTGGTATTATTGGGAGTAATTGTGCCCCGTCATTGGGAGGAATTGTGCCCCGTCATTGGAAGGAATTGTGCCCCGTCATTGGAAGGAATTGTGCCCCGTCATTGGAAGGAATTGTGCCCCTTCATTGGCATCATTGGGAGGAATTGTGCCCCTTCATTGGAAGGAATTGTGCCCCTTCATTGGCATCATTGAGAGGAATTGCCGCCCTTCATTGGTGTTACTGGGAGGAATTGTGCCCCATCATTGGTGTTATTGGGCCCAATTGTTGGTGTCATTGGGCAGAACTGTGCCCCATCCTTGGTGTCATTGGGAGAGAAATTGTGCCCCATCATTGAGAGGAATTGCGCCCCTTCATTGGCGTCATTGGACGGAGTTGTGTCCCATCATTGACGTCATTGGAAGGAATTGCACCCCATCACTGGCGTCATTGGGAGAAATTGCTCCCCTTCATTGGTGTCAGTTGGTGGGGATTAGGCCCCATTGTTGGTGGCGGTGGATGAACTAGTGCTCCAAGGGCCAGATGAAAGCAAGCAAAGGGTCGCATCTGGCCCCGGGGCCAGAGTTTGGAGACCACTGGTTTAACCTAATCAACCCTAATTAACTCCTTTCCATTCTCCCTCTGATTTGTCCTGCAGATTTTTTATAAAATTTTTTTAAAAAAAAAAAAAAAAAAAAAAAAAAAGGAAGGAAGGAAAAAAGAACGCACACATGACACAAAACAAAAAAAAGGTACACACCACAACAATGTGTTACTTTGTAGCCATCTTATCTTTAAGTAATTACAAAGTTATTGCCGAATAAGGCAACTTATGGAAGAAGACAAAACATACGAGGTGGTATCAAAAAGACTAGTTTGTTTTGTAACACGCCAACAGATGGCAGCACAAGGCTGCACGCACAGTCACAGGGAGCACCAACCTTCATAAATCAGTGTGCCAAAAGGCATCATCCTGTGTACATTGGGAGCTGTGCAACTGGTGCTATTCTGACCACGTGCATTACCACGTCTGCTATTTCATCATGGACAGAAAGTTAAAACAAAGAGCAAAACGTGAAATTCTGCATGAAACCGGGCAAATCGTTGGATCTCTGCAATGCTGTAAAAATGGCGACCTTTGAGCTGGACCTCCATCTTCGGGAAGAGGGCATTTTCGGAGGTTGAGATCACTGAAGGTCTTCCTGATCTCTCGTCGTCTTCCAGTGATATTATTCCGCTCTTACAGCAGGTGCCACTCGGAACACTTCCAACGACTCATCGCAACATCGCCGCAGACTTGCCGAATCATGTCACAATGTCTCGCTGGCAGATTTGCCCAGTTTCATATTTTCTCTTTGTGCCAACTTGCTGCCCATGATGAAATAGAAGATGTGGAAACGCACCAGATGCACAGCTCTTGATGTGCACAGGACACCTACCATTTATTTATTTCAGGTACTTATATAGCGCCATCACTTTACACAGCACTTTACATATATATTGTACATTCACATCAGTCCCTAACCCTCAAGGGGCGTACAATCTAAGGTCCCTAACCCTCAAGGGGCGTACAATCTAAGGTCCCTAACCCTCAAGGGGCGTACAATCTAAGGTCCCTAACTCACATTCATACATACATACATACAGTTGCAAGAAAAAGTATGTGAACCACTTGGGATTACGTGGAGTTTTGCATGAATTGGGCATAAAATGTGCTCTGAACGTCATCTAAGTCACAACAATAGAAGAACACAGTCTGCTGAACATAATACTACACAAAAATTAGATGTTGCCATGGTTTAATTGCACATAACATGTAAACATTCACAGTGCAGGGAGGAAAAAGTATGTGAGGCCCTAGCTTAATGACTTCTCCCAGAGCTAATTGGAGCCAGGAGTGAGCCAACCTTGACTCCAATCAGTGTGATGATATTGGATGTGTTGCTGACAGCTGTCCTGCCCTTAAAAAACACACACCTGTTTTGGGTTTACTGGTTTCAAGAAGCACTGTGTGATGTGAACCATGCCTCGCAGAATAGAGCTCTCAGAAGACCTACGATCAAGAATTGTTGACTTGCATGAAGCTGGAAAGGGTTACAAAAGTATCTCCAAAAGCCTTGATGTTCATGTGTCCACGGTAAGACAGACTGTCTACAAATGGAGAAAGTTTAGCACTGTTGCTACTCTCCCTAGGCGAAATTCTGTGTGAAACTGCCACAGAGACGTTTGACATGATTTTGCAAGTTAACGGCGATGCTGCAATAAGTCGTTGGAGGTGTTTTGAGTGCAGTGCGCGCTTCAAGAGTGGACGAACATCACTAGAAGACAATGAGTGATCAGGAAGACCTTCCATGAGCTCAACCCCCAAAAATGCCACTTTTCCGAAAATACAGCTCAAAGGTGTCACAGTTTTGACAACATTACATAGTTAGTCTGGCTGGATTGAGCAAAATGGATCGGAGTCCGATCCATTATGCTCCCCAATCCGCAGATCCCATCCACCCTACGGGGATCGTCGGCATGCAACCTATACGGGGGTGACACCGGACCCCGCTCCACGAAAAGGTAAGCCGACGATCCCCGCAGGATGGATCAGATCTGCAGATTGGGGATCGTCAGCTTGCTTTACAACTTATCTTGTCGTGGAGGGGGTCCGGTGTCACCCCGTGCGGTAGGTGTCACCCGGTGCAGCGCGCACCCCCCGCATCTGCCTCAGGACGCCACTGCAGTGCTCAAAGAAAAAAAAAAAAAAAAAAGGAACACTTTGAAAACCCATCAGATCTCAATGGGAAAAAAATCTCCTGCTGGATGTCTATACTGACATGGACGGGGTAATGTGTTAGGAACGTAAGGATGCCCCATCGTTTGATGAAAATGATCGACCTACAGAGGACTGAATTCAGAGACACCCCAAAAATCAAAGTGACAAAATGATGCAGCAGGTGAGTCCATTCTGCTGAAATGTCATTGCAGCAACTCAGAATGGTCCTCAGTAGTCTGTATGGCCCCCACGTATCAATCTACAGAGGACTGAATTCAAAGACACCCAATGGGAAAAAATCTCCTGCTGGA